CAACTAAGATGTGGCTAATATCTCAGTTATAAAGGTACTTTAACAGTTCAAACTGACATGCTTTCTAATAGGGTGCCAAAAAAAAAAAAAAAAAAAAGATGGGAGATGGAGACTGTTTTACATTAAAAGAGGCCAACCTATGAAAACCAAATGGGTATATAATGCTTGAATGAGGTTCCTGGATTTTAAAAAATAGATGTATATTTGTCAGTAAACTAGAAGGAACTCAAATGCTAATCAGTTGAGGATTGGTTGAGTAAAATTTGGTACAGCCAAACAACAGAATTCCATTCAGCCATTAAAAAGAATGAAAAGGGGAAAAAAACAGAAAGGGCATTGTAGGGGTAGTTGGGTAAATTTGAATATGGATTACTATGAGGAGTTTTTTCCCACAGTAACAGATTCTTCAAAGCCAACTAAGTGTCCAACAGTTCAATTTGATTCTGGACACTATCTACCTGGAGTTAGTGTCATATTCCACCTGTTAAGAGAAATCAGTTCCACAAGACTGCTCCCACTGCGGGCATGCCAATCGCAAGTCCTGAGTCACTTTTTTTTTTTTTTTTTTTTTTTGAGACGGAGTTTCGCTCTTGTCATCCAGGCTGGAGTGCAATGGTGCGATCTTGGCTCACTGCAACCTCTGCCTCCCGGGTTCAAGTGATTCGCCTACCACCACACCCACCTAATTTTTGTATTTTTAGTAGAGATGGGGTTTCACCATGTTGGTCAGGCTGGTCCGAACTCCTGACCTCAAGTGATCCGCCCACCTCGGCCTCCCAAAGTGCCGGTATTACAGGCATGAACTACTGCACCCAGCCGATTTTACACAACTTTTAAGGATCACTTCACTTGTATGAAGTATCGTATCCTGTTTTGTAGGATTTAACCATTAATCCATATGTCAGTATGTATTTACTCAAGTAATACTCTTGACTACTTGTATAGTTAATAATTCACTTGATATAAATACAAAACAGTATCTTTGATTTACTTTGATAAGGAAAGATCATTTTAAGAATGGCCACACTGTCCACATTAATGAGAGATGAAGAAGTATTGATAAAAATTCAGGTGAATACAGCACATTATGTCTTTTCAATTACTGTCCATAGAAATGTGCACATTTTATAGCAAATAAGTTAACTATTGAATTATAAAGCCACTGAATAAATGCAGGTATATATTTTAAAAGTCTTTAAATTGTGTATGAGTTTTTCTCTGAATCTATTAAGATGGTTTTTGAAATGATTCCAGGATTGTTCCTTATAATTTTGTTTAGTCATTTAAGATTTTGATTTAATAGATGTAAGAATATTTACATCGTCTTTTTTTTTTTTTTTTGGTCTATTCTTAAGTGTTGGTAGTTTGTGGGGTTTTAAAAATTTGTTTGTTTGTGTTTGTTTTTGAGACGGGGTCTCACTCTGTCGCCTAGGCTGGAGTGCAGTGACACAATCTTGGCTCACTGCAACCTCCGCCTCCCGAGTTCAGATGATTCTGCTGCCTCAGCCTCCCGAGTAGCTGAGATTATAGGCACCTGCCATCACACCTGGCAAATTTTTGTATTTTTTAGTAGAGACGGAGTTTTGCCATGTTGGCCAGGCCAGTCTCAAATCCCTGACCTCAGGTGATCTGCCCGCCTTGGCCTCCCAAAGTGCTAGAATTACAGGTGTGAGCCACCACGCCCAGCCTGTGGTTTTTATTAATAAGAAATTGGTGCATTTTATCTAAGTTGTCAAGTTTATGTGCTTAGAGTTGTTTGCCACAGCCTCTTTTAATATCTGTGGAGTCTGTAGTGATGTCTCTTTTCATTCCTGATATTGATAATTTTGCCTCTTGTCTTTTTCCTTTGTCAGTCTGACTAGAGGTTTATTCATTTTATATTTTCAAAGAACCGGATTTTGATCTGATTGAATTTTGTTTCTATTTTTGTTTTCAATTTCATTGATTTCTTTCTTTCTATCTTTCTAATGCTTGCTTCAGTTTTTATTTTGTTCTTTTTCTAGTTTCTTAATGTTGAAGCATAGATTGTTGATTTGATGCCTTTTTTTTGAGACAGTCTCAAATGACTTCTAATTTAATTCCATTATGGCTAGAGAACACACATGATTTCAGTTCTTCGTGCACTTGAAAAGAATGTACATTCTGCTGTTTTCGTGT